TACTATGTTTTGCCATCAATATTTGTAAGTGACATGGGTTTATAATTTGTGGCAGTTATAAAAAATTTTACACATTTTTAATGCATATAGATATTTATATGATGGTGATAAAAGATTACTTGCAATGAAACTTTTTTTTTTTTTTTAACTGTATAATTGCCTTGCTGTGAAGGAGTATTGCAAGTTGGGTGTATACAGCATTTGGCTTATGTTAATCTCATACCCTGTCCTTCTCTCCCAATGTTACCATGTATTAAGAATCTGGACCTTTAGGCTCTGTTGCCATACTGATTAATTTTTAAAATTCTAGGTAAAATGCTAATGTTAGTTAAAGCAAAGTGTCCAGAGTCAGGTGTTTTTTGACACTGCGTATCTGGGTAATGTTGGGCTTTTAAGTTTCCATGCTCAGCCCAGGAACATGCAGGCCTTTTCATATAATCTTTAGTGGTATTTTTCCATCACTAACCAGCAGCAAGTTTGTTGTAATCCAAATTTTCACAAGTAGTAGTTTACTCTTAAACTAAAAATGAAGTTAGGAATGGAGACTTCAATGAAACCTAGGTATAAACTGTAGGTTTTTTCCTTTTTTAATGAAATACTAAACCTCCCTACCTTTAAGGACAGTAGCTCATTCAGGAGTAAAGTATCTAGATCTGAAAATTCTTTTTGGTTTTAAGTGATGATAATTGAACTCTAAGCATTTGGTTCTTTGTGTGTGTGTGGTTTTTTTTGTGTGTTTTTTTTTTAAATGCTGTTAATTCTGAAGGCAGTGTTCCAATCAGTGGCAGAGTATTAGGTCAAATGAAGTGTGGGACCATTTTGTGTGTTAGCAGAACCCCATGATAAATTCAGCTCTTTATGGAGTGGGCTAAATCTTAGAATTGTGAATGATGATCTTGAAAAATCCTGCAATGCTTCATACTAAGTTGTTCATCAGAGTTTTGTCTACTAGGTTGCTCTGTTTACCCCTGGGAACAATTGACTAGAAGGTATTGCTATCCTCAGGTGGTTGGTTGCCTGGCAGACTCCCCAGTTAAACGGAAAGCAGAGCTGCTAAAGCTGAGTGTGAGTTATATACAGTTTAAGAAATTAAATATAGATAAGTACTTGGATATAGTTGGGAGGGTCAGTACTGTGCATACAAATTCTCAATATTTATGAGTAAATACTCTAATTAAGAGAACATTTTCCAGATAATCACCATATTTGTTAACTTTATTTAGCGCGGGAGTATGGTTCACACACTATTCTAAGGGCTTTACATATATTAACTCGCTTAATCCTCACAACAACCCTTTGATCAAGGTTAGCTGGCAAATGGAGGTGCCAGGAATTGATGTCGGAGTCAGGCTTCAGAGTCTATGCTCTTAATCACTACTGTATTGCTTACTGGTCTTATAAATCCAATAGGAAAGAAAACAGTGGTTTTCCGTAGGAGTCTTTCAGGCTTGGAGAAGCAGATTCCTTCTATTAATAAAGGTGGAAGGAATGCAGTCACAAGCTGACTACTTCTGTTTTCTCAAACTTAGATCTTGTTATTCCTTCTTCTAATGGAAGGAAAGCCAGGCTGAATCATGAAAGAGGAAATGGGGTGTTTTGTGTCCTTTCCCCATGCTACCTCTTTTCTATAAAAGTCAATGATCAGCAGTCATTTGTTGACGACCTAACTTTGGCCAAGCATTAGACTCTGGTGGGGAGTTTGGAAAGCAATGAGATGTGTTCCTTGACTTTGAAGAACAAAGCCACCCGCTGAACACTGAAACAAGTGCAGTGACCGAGCCAAGCTCAGGATCATAATGGGAACGGAGCAGGGAATGCTTTACTGTATCTCCTGTGTGGATCCTCCTCAATCCCCCCCACCCCCACCCCATGGCCAAGCTACAACAGTCCAAAGGATGAATAGGGGCTGGTGTGGTGAGTAGGTGATAGGATTGATCAGCTTTCCAGAAAGCAGCATTTGCAGAGATGCAAGGTATAAGCTGTGCTTTGCAACCTTCTTGATAAGTCACCTGGGTACTAATTAAATTCCACATTCATGGGCCCCATTCTAGATCCTCTTAATCAGGATCTCCAGGGGAGGGGCCTAGGGGACTGTTATTGAGGGAAGCTTAGAAAATACCAGACAAGTGGAATACAGTTTGTTCATGAATATAGTTGGGGTGAATTTCAGAGAGAATGGTTGAGGATGAGGTCAGCTGGCGTGAAGGTCATTTTATGTCATGTCTGTCTTTTGTGATTGGTCTTCTATTTGTATCCTACTTAATGCTGGTTACTTTCCATGTATCAACAGATATATTCAACTGCGCATTTACTTAGAGTTGGACAACTTTATTTAATTTGAGAAGCAATATATTGAAAGTTTGGACCTCAGCCCAATTTACAGGGTTACCAACCTTGACTTCTGTATGACCTGAGAAATTGCCAAAGAGGAGAGTGGGGGATAGAATGAACACTGTCTTCGGTGTGCCCCATGACTCTTCATGGTGTCTCATTTTTTTCATTAGCAAGCTGAGGTGCAGAGGTTAATTACATAGGTCACATACCTAATAAGTGATACAACTAATATTCGAGCCAGAGTCTATAGAGCAGGAAGAATTTGATTTCTCAAAAAGTGGTGAATGGAGTGCTCATTTACTCAGTTAAAATAGGTGAACTGGAAAATGAAGGGTTAGGTCAGGGGCTATAGTAAAAAGGCTTCTCACATTTGTTACCATGTGAAAATAAATGCCCAATATTCTGTGGTTGTTTTTTTTTTCTTTTTAAGAGAAACTAAATATCAAAATTTTATGTGAATTTATCTCTTAAAAATCAATATTAAAAAAAAATTAGTACAATGTGTTTGCCAACATCATGATACAAGATACGTCACTGAGTAGAATTTTGCTTAAGGGCCACTGGCTTGTGACCTCTAGGTTAAATACTCTGTAAAGTCTGAGCTTTAAAATATAATGCTTCATGCTGATTCTTAATGAGGTATGACTGTGATCTGCTTTCCTTTCATATCTTAAATTTTGATGAATATTTATGTGCGCATTAATACCAGAGCCTTCTCTACATATTAATACATTTTTAGCTTTGCTGGGAGTAGATGGAGAAGGATTAAAAGGCTCCTTGCTCCTGGCTGTGGTGGGAAAATTGTTGCCCTGCCTGAACATTCTAGTCCAGCTGCTGTTTTCCCCGGCCTTTCTACCAGAACAGGAGCTGGAAGTGGATCTGTTCATTTCCTTGTAGGCTTTCAACACATGTGCAACCACACGCAGTGTCTTTCCAAAGTGTGTATAGCAACGTATTAGTAGACCTTGAAACTAATTCGGTGCATTCAGACACATTTTGAAAATGCTTGAACTAGAATGACTAAGTAGATCCTTGGTCATTCCTGCTCAGTATAAAATGGTTTAAATTCTAACCTGGAAATCTGAAAGGATTTTTGCCAATTACCTCCGCATTTGGTTTTTTTTCTTCAATCCCGTGAAAATACTAACAACCTCTCTGTCTTGTGTAGATCAGTCCTTTGGTCCAGTCATCACTTTTCAGGAGAGAATGGCAGTGCTGAGGGGAAGGCATTGGAAGATATGAGCTGCCTGGCCTTGGAGAGAAGGACAGAGAGTCGATGGCTGAAGAGGGCAATAAGCCAGCCCCAATTCTATCCTCACTAAAATTTCTTGGGAATAAGAAAGGGGGGGAAGAGGGAAGACAATATGTGAGTAAGTAGAGCACCTAACAAAAGTTTCAGGACATTGAAGAGGCACAGAGGATGGCGGATGTGGGGATACTTTGGCAAATGAAATGTTCTTCAGTCATAGATTTGTCTCTTTGGAACTGAGTGAGTGGGGAGAGAGAAGGTTCTGGAATAGATCCTTGGAATGAAAAGCTGTTTGTTTTTGTGAACCACCACTAGGGAGGGTGGGGTTATTTGTTAGATACACCATAAATTACCAACAGTTAATACCTCCCACATGTCGTATTTGTTTAATTATTTCTGTTTGCATTCTCAAGAAATTATACTTTAAAATTTAAAAATTTAAGTAGAATCTATATTATTGTTGAGATTGTGGACACCAGAGGGATACACACTCCTATGTCTTACTGAGAATTTAATTGGAAATGAAAACTTAAAGTTTCTAGAAATACTATAAAATTTCAACCCTCTGAAGAACATGAGGTTTGTCTTAGGTCCCCTGATGTGCATGGGGTGAAATGCATGATTTGTTCAGTATTTTTACATTATCTACTGATTCAGTTATAAAGCACTTTCTTACATCCTTATTCTGGGGGAGATTCTGGATATGTTATGAACTACTTTAATAACTCAAACTGTCATTACTAGTTATAGGTTAAGAAGCTATTTTTATACACTGAAGTGAAAACCAGACTTTTCATATTACTTCATATGTGGGCTTTTAAAAAATTATGTTGAAAAGATAGAATTATTTTGGCCAATATTTACTAATTTAGCTCTTTATGAACACATATTTTAGAGTGCAAACTCCAAAGGACAGAGACCTGATATGGATAGAAGTTTGTTTTGTTTTGTTTTGTTTTCTCATTTCCATTATTAATGTAAAACTGATAAGACTGGGTTGCCTGGGTGGCTCAGATGGTTAAGCATCTGCCTTTGGTTCATGTCATGATCTCTGGGTCCTGGCATCGAGCCCCACAGCGGGCTCCTTGCTCAGTGGGGAGTCTGCTTCTCCCTCTCCCTCTGCCTCTCCCCACCACTCATGCTCTCTCTCTCTCTGTCAAATGAATAAATAAAATCTTAAAAAAAACTGATAAGACTGACTTTATGAATATTTTCTCTCAATGGTAATAGAGGTTATCTATGTTGTGGGTTCAATATCCAGACACAGATACACATACTTGGAGGCTATTGTATTCTTCCCATTAAAAGGACTTTCTGCTCTTACTTGTTTTTATTATTTTGCTTTAGATCATATACTTTTTAAAGATACGGATTTTTAAATTATTACTTGTAATTCAACTTATTTTCTAAAATACAGTGATAAAGTGATGCTGCGTAACTGTAATCAGTTGGATTGCTTAAGGACCAATGTATAGTAAATAAGTGTGCTAGAAGAATGGATTATTAAAAATATTGACTCACTAGAATTACTAGAATGTAATTGGACCAGATCTTCAGGTAGGTAATGATCTATGATTTCAGATCCATGAAAGTTGGATACAATTTTAATGTTCTTAGGGGTAAACTATTAATTTCTGATTAATACAACATTTTAGAGAAAATAATCAGTAGACATGTTGTAAACTTCGAATGAAGTTTAGGAAGGAAGCCAGCTTAAATAATTTGCCCAAACTACGTCAGTGTCTCAAACAGTGTTTTTTGTTTTTTAAAGATTTCATTTGTCAGAGAGAGAGAGCACAAGCAGGGGGAGCTGCAGATAGAGGGAGAAGCAGGCCCCCTGCTGAGCAAGGAGCCCAATGCAGGACTCGATTCCAGGACCCTGGAATCATGACCTGAGCTGAAGGCAGATGCTTAACCTACTGAGCCACCCAGGTGTCCCCTCAAACAACGTTTTATCCCTGGGATTGCATTTATGTATTTACATGCCTATCACCCCACCTAGATCCTAAGTGCTTGGGTTCCATCACTTGATGGGTGAAGGGTTGTACATACAGGGATGGAAAGAATTTGTGGGCATTTTTGTAATCTTCACAGAATGGATTTTATTGACTGCTTATTCTGCATCAGGCTTTATGCTGGATAATTTACATGTTACTCATTAAATCCTAACATAAATTGCCTCACGTGTGTGGCGCTCCCATTTCAAAGATGAGAAAACTGTTTATCAGATAAATTAAGAGACTTGTGCACATTAAACCCAGATTATTTGCTTCAGATTATAGGGTGGCCTTTAGGTGCTGTCTCCTGTTGCTTAAATGGTCAGATGGTTGGCTCTTGAGGCAGAAGGTGTATGCTTTATTTAATAAAAAATTTGGCTAAAACGGAGTTCCAAAGACTAGTTTCACTTTCTCCCATTTACTAGTTCTAAAGAGTAGTTTTACTTTATACCCATTGAACCATTGGTCATATATTTATTTGATTTGGAAAAAAATTCTCATTTTACTACCCTTACCATCCTTTAAGACTTTCCAGAGGCTTATGAGGAGTGTTTTAGTGGGTTTTTGTTTGTTTTGCCAGATCACCTGCGTATCCTGGATCTCACCACATTTTGGACATGACTGAATGTCTACAATGGGCCAGGTATCACTGGCAACAGCTGATGGGCGGTAGAAACAGGGACGAGGATGAGAGGTCATACAGCTATTCCTCTCTGCTTGTCTGTGGGGGCAAGTCCTCTCAGCCTCCCAGACTGGCAGGAAAGCACCGGGTGGTTGTTCCCCACCTCTGGCCCTTCAAGGATGAGTATGAAAAGTACTCTGGCACCTACATGAATAACCGAATACGGACAACAAAGTACACACTTCTAAATTTTGTGCCAAGAAATTTATTTGAACAATTTCACAGGTAAAAGTCTTAACATGTTCTTTGTTATTCTAGTTAACATAAGATTTTTCATTTCTATGACATTATATGTTACCTAAGCTAAGACTTGGGACATTTTCTTTGACGATTCTAGTAGAGTTTGTTGTGAAATGATGAGCCCTTATGTTCACATAGCACTTTACAAGTGGTAAGATGCTTTCTCTTGACCAGAGAAGATATTGTTATTTTCATATTATAGATTAGGAAACAAAGTTTGTTACACTGGTTTACCCAGTGTCGTGCCAGTGATTAGGAGCTGACCCTATAGCCTTGAGTCTTTTCACTCTTGCTTCCATGTTCTTTCCATTAGACCATGCTGAGTTTTAATTTGAGCTTTTTCTTACTTGATGATATGGGGAAATAGAGCTCTTCACTAGGTGAAGCAACGACATATAGTTCAGTTTAATATATATTTATTGAAGCTCTCCTATGAGTTTAGGCATTGAAGGAAATACATATCTGAGTGGTACTCCTTTCCTAATGGAGTTTGCTTTTAGCAAGAGAAACAAGATGTGTATACAATGAAAAGACAGCGAATGTGATGAGTGTTATAAAGTGCTAACAAGTAGGGTAGAAGCCTCAGAAGAGAAATAATGGAGCAAGAGAAGAGAAAAGGGCATTTGAACTTAATTATGGAGAGCTGGTGAGATTTTCAAGGCAGAGGTGTCGGCAAAGCACCTTTCAGCTGGGGGAAGGAGTATGATATGTAAAAGCAGAAAGGCAGTAGCATACATTGCTTGAGGTCTGGAAAGTAGAGCCCTCTGCCTGGCACAATTAGAAACAAAGCAAAGGCAGAGAGAACATTTAGGGAGATGCTATATATACCCTGGCGAGTGGCAAGACCTGAGCTTAGAAAAATGTGGGAATGGAAAGAAGGATTATTACAGATATTATGGATTAGATGCAGGGAATTAAGTAAAAAGATGGTATGAACATATTGAGCTGAGAATGACCAGGAGGATTAGCAGAAAAAGTAAAGACAGGAATAAAAAAAACTTGGCTAGATGATTTGGTTTTTATAAATGTTGAGTTTGAGATGCTAATGTGAATATACAGATTCTCAACATTCATTATTCATTCTGCATATATTCATTCTCATTATTCACTGTATGTAGGTTCCATATACATTTATTGAATGATGGGTACATTTAAAATATAGATGTGAATTTGCTGAATTAATGGCTTTACATGCTATGGGTGGTTCTGTCTTTTATGAATTAGAATCTGAAACTTGAACAGAGTTCAGGGTCAGTGCTGTTGGTTTGGATACAGTCCACATGGAAATAATTGAGGCCAAAAAAGTAGCAAAAAAGGTTAGGTAAGAATTTTCAGAATACAAGGAGTTGGAGGTGAGGAAGGAGAAATGGGGGTAAATTAATTTTGAGAAGTTTAATGGTTAATGAGGAAAATATGTGATAAAAACTTGAGGGGCTATGCAGGATTGAGATTCTATTTCTTTTAAGGAAATGGGCTACTTGAATTTACCTTAGGGGCCAGTGGAGGAGTATTTGAATATATAAAATAAAGAAGTGGAAGAAGTTCCTGAAGAAATAAATCTCATAAAAGCTGAAATAGAAGGGTTGGTTTCAAGGGGAAAAAAAACCTCCCAGGCATCTCTATTTATCTTGAGCCTTGTTTGAATCTAATGTTTGGACATGCAAATTAACTTCTGAAGGCTAGAGAGTTGGGGTTTTGAAAAATTTATTTCTACAATGTGTTAACATTGAATTTCCTCTAAATTTTTTGAGCTTTTATTTTTTATTTATTAAAGATTTTTTTTTTTTATTTATTTATTTGATAGAGACACAGCAAGAGAGGGAACACAAGCAGGGTGAGTGGGAGAGGGATAAGCAGGCTTCCCACGGAGCAGGGAGCCCAATGCGGGGCTCGATCCCAGGACTCTGGGATCATGACCTGAGCCGAAGGCAAATGCTTAATGATTGAGCCACCCAGGCGCCCCTCTTTTGAGCTTTTAAAAAGAAAGTAGTGTTTTCTGTGATGCTTCTTATGTTTTCACAACTCAAGACTGTCATACACATATTGACTATCATATATTTAATAAAGAATACCTCATTTATTACAGTAAAGCCATGAGCTGGATATCTACAGGAGTGACAGGTTGTTCAGATACGTCAGGTTTGGCTAGTTCTCTGTTCTGTAGCATCAAAAATCGACTAAGGGAAACATAGGAAAATGTCCTGAGATATTTTTGTTCCTTTTGCTTTAGGCTTTTATGTGATTTGTTAACCCTTCCTTGTGTGTGTTTGGATTGCAGGGCTGCCAATTTATATTTCCTGTTTCTAGCTGTCTTGAACTGGGTGCCTTTGGTAGAAGCCTTCCAAAAGGAAATTACAATGCTACCTCTCGTGGTGGTCCTGACAATTATTGCAATAAAAGATGGTTTGGAAGATTACCGCAAATATAAAATTGACAAACAGATCAACAATTTAGTAACTAAAGTTTACAGTAGGTAAGTGTAACAGGAGCTGGGCTAGGGAATATACATGTGTCATTTAGAAACATGCAGAATGTTACTTTCTTCCCCCTTAGATGTGATCAGGACCCTTTTTGGTGATGCTGGTGGTGGTGAGGTTTTCAACTAATATTTATTAAGGACCTGTAGTGAATTTAATTCAGGTGTCCTAGCAGAACCAAAATGTATAGATGGTCCTGATTTACGATTCAGTGGAAACCTTACTTCAGAATTTGAATTTTGACCTTTTCCTGGGCTAGCGTATGGTAAGATATTCTCATGATGCTGGGCTGCAGCAGGGAACCTCATTCCGAGTCAGCCCGGTGATCACGAGGGTAAACAATGAATCATTTTGTACCCATAGAACCAGTCTGTTTTTTTCACTTTCAGTACAGTAGTCAGTAATTTCCATGCGATTTTCAACACTTTATTATAAAAATAGGTTTTGTGTTAGATGATTTTACCCAAGTGTAGGCTTATGTAAGCATTCTGAGCACGTTTAAGTTAGGGTAGGCTAAGCTATGATGTTCCGTAGGTTAGGTGTATTACATGCATTTCCACCTATAATATTTTCAACTTGCCATAAGATTATTGGGATTTAACCCTTTCATAAGTCAAGAAAGATCTATATAAGCCATCGTCAATCCAGGAGTTGATAAAGCAAAAGCTTCTATAACTTATGTATAAGTGGAATGGAAAGAATTAAACTTCATAAGAAGGAAAGCTAGCAGATAGTTTTTAATCCTGGGTGTTACAATTTGGGATTAAGAAGAGGATGGGATATGAAAAATATGAATGGATATGAAAAACAAGATGGGATATGAAGAAAAAGATAAGAGCTACCAATGGAGGAAGGGATACTGAAAAATGGGGAAGAATATTCTTTTTTTGTACACAAAGCTAGAAACTTTATAAAACTCACCCCATTGCAGCAACAGAAAGCATTCATAATAGGAGGTCTTTTCTGAAGCATATTTGCTGTCATGGAGACCTGTATCTTCAGTTTTTATTAAACAGAAAGACTGTGTAGCTAAGAATAGTCTGTAAAGGTGAGTTTGGAACTGTGCTGTATATTGTAAATCTACATTTACAAATTATACATGTGATCCTGGTATCCAGAGACAACTAATTATAACACTGCCGTATCTTCCTATAAGTTCTGTGTGCATTGTGTGTATGTTTTACAAAATAAAGATTATACTCCATATATTTTTATTCTAATTGTTTAGCCTAATATTGCACTGCAAACACTTTCCATGTCTTTATGAAAATGAAATTTTCACTTTTCATACTTTTATGAAAATGAAAATTACAAAGTTTGGAATATTAATTGTCTGGTGTTCCCTTTCATGAGAAATGTATCTACTTTTTAAAAAGTCATCATTAGAACAGATGTGTGAAATTCTGAATCTAATATGTTAACTGCTTTACAAACAAGTTTATGACGTCACCTCTCCCCCACACCCCATATTGAGATTAGGAAGGCTTGTGGAGTGTTCTGGGGATGCTGAGGATATTGACTTGGCCTGAGGGGGAAACCAGCTCTAGGAGCAGTAATGAGAAATGAAAAGAGAGGGAGTTTGAGGCCTCCTGTGGAGGGACTTCCAACACCAGGCTACTCCTTGAATGGTGTATTAATCAGGGTTGTCCAGAAAAATAGAACCAATAGGAATGAGATTTATTATCAGGAATTGGCTCACATGATAATGGAGGCTATGAAGCCCCAGTACCGGCAAGCAGGAGTCTCGGGAAGGCCAGCAGTGTGGTTTGAAGGCCCGAGAGCCACAGAGCTGATGGTGTAGATTCCCGTCCAAGTCTGAAGGCCTGAGAACCAGGGATGCTGAGGTCAGGAGATCAGTGTCCCAGCTCAAGCCTCAGGAAGGCAGAGAATAAATTCAACTTTACTCTGCCTTTTTCTTCTCAAGGGATTGGATGATACCCACCCACACTGGGGAGGACCGTCTCTTCAGTTCAACTTGAAGGCTAATTTCTCCCAGAAACACTTTCACAGACACACACGGAAGTAACATTTAACCAGCGTCTGGGCATCCCTCGTGAAGCTGACACTTGAAATTAACCATCAGAGATATTTTCCTTCAGTGGTAGAGAATCTGCAGTGTCTCTCCAATCGGACAGGGGCCCCCAAATGTGGGGCGATGATCATTTGGAAGCATACATGGTGTGGGGGCGGTGAAAGAATTCACCTGAGGCAGAACATAGGCGATCGCAGCTTATTGAACACACCACAAGGGAGCCGCAGGCAGGAAAGCAGAGGAGACTGTCTGCCATGAGGCGGCGGGTGGGGGCTGTTTTTAAAGGGGGAAGGGAGGAGATCTGACGACATAGGGAATGTCTCCCCTTTTTGGTAATTGTACCTGGTTGTAAGTAGCCCATTGCTCAGTTAAGGCTTATGGATATTTTGAGGTGGGTCGCCTGATGGGCCGTCTGTGTTCAGCCAGGGGGGTCACTGTGGGCCCTTTTGCCTGGGTCAAGTTTCCATCACTCAAGCCTGTTATCTAAAAGCATCCTCTACAGAATCCATCTTTTTTTTTTTTAAGTTTTTATTTAAATTCCAGTTAGTTAACATACAGTGTAATAGTAATTTCAGTTGTACAGTATAGTGATTGAACACTTCCATACATCACCCAGTGCTCATCACAAGTGCACTTCTTGATTCCTAACACTGATTTCACCCATCCCCCACCCTCCTCTCTGGTAACCAGCATGTTCTCTAGAGTTAAGAGTCTGTTTCTTGGTTTGCATGTGTGTCTGTCTCTCTTTCCCCCCACACCCCCACCCTTTGCTCGTTTCCATCTTTTGAGCAGAGAAGGAATGTGGCGAAAGCTGTGCTTGAGGAATATTGGTCCACTCGAGTCCTGGGAATAGGCTCTACAAAGAGGGTAAATCAGCCTCTGCTAATCAGTCCAGGGCATTACTGGGAGTAGATGGCAAGGTACAGGAAGGGGTTCATAGAAGAGATACTGTGAAGAAGAACCCAATTAAATTTGGTGAACTTTTGTGATTTTTGAGCTTTGGAGGAAAAAAGTACCACCAATAGAAAGAGGGAGCATTAAATTCACCTCAGGTAGGATGAACTGGAAATGATAGCAAGACAGCCATGCAGTGGAAATGCCCCACGGGCAAATAGGAACATGCTACAGGAGTTCTGGTCAGACGGAAGGGCTATGGTAAGAAATTTTGAAGTCATCAGTCTGTTTAGAGGTGATTTTGAAGTGAGGAGTTTGACTTAAATCCCCAAGGGAGAAAATGTGACGAGCTAGAAGACTGAGCTTTGAGCCCAGAAGTAGGCAAGCACTTCCTTCAGCCTCTGAGCTGACTCGACAGGTTCCCTTAGACAGATGCTGCCACTCTTTCTTCTGACATCTCAGAGTATTTGATACATTTCTTGGATTGACTTTAGTGTTCTCGTTTAAATTCTAAGTTCCTAAGATTGTAATGCTAAATTGGTCAGACTAGAGATTCTATTCTATTCTAGTTACCAAGTCTGAACAAAAGACATTTAGGTTCAAAAGGCTAGTTTTCTAATAAAATATATTTTGAACAAATTTAAGGCTCTTTTGACTGACCAAGAGTTCAACTAGATGATGTAATTTTTGTTTTGTTTAGGGAGAAAAATAACTCATAGGCTTATCCTGATAGTAGAATTGTCTTCCATTTTATGTGAGCCACAGAGGAAATGGTTAGGGCAAGCTGCTCACATAAAGTGATACTTAAGCTGAAACCTGAAGGATTCTGAATTCTGTTCATTATTAGAATTCTTCAGTGACTTTCTCAACATCCATTTTAAAGATTCAGAAACAAAACTAACTTTTTTTTCCCCTCCTTTGTAGGATGATATGACTTGTACCTAGATAAGGAAAAATTTGGTCTATTTTTTTTCTTATACTCATATCTGATCTAAAGCTAACCAGAAAAACTCATGTATTATGTAGAAAACTAAAAATATTAGGAAAAGCTCATGGTTTTCATTTTAAAGTCATGAGTGTTCTACTAAAATACTGCTATGAATCATTTGATGACATTTATGTCTTATCATATGCCAGGGATAGAGAGGTGTTATTGATACAGTCTTACCCTCAAAAAATAGTTGTAGGAAATAGTATTTTAGAATGATTATATGATGAACAAAGTCCAGATTTTGAACAATTTAAAAATTACTCAGCAATACCAAATTTAGCAAATGGGAAGAATGCTTCTTATATGTATTTTTAAATATAGGTTCTTGTCTATAAATGATTGTTGACTTTTAGTGCTACTTTAAAGTTGATAATGTGTGTTTGTTTGCTTTTCTAAGTTCTAAATAAGTTCTAATCCTGATTTTCTCAGTTATTAGCTATATTTAGCTTTGGGCAAATTGCATAAGCTAGCTAAACCCCAGTTCTCTTCATTATGAATATAATAGTAATAAAACAGTAATCAATAGAACCTAGCCCTTTCTAAGTGCTAAGTAAAGGTTAGCCACTGTGATGATTTTTGTAGGTTAGTAATAACTATTAGCTGGAGTTTGCCACATTATCAAGTTATTTAATCAACATTTGAGAACTCTTTAGGACACTGCATGATTTTATAAATATTAAAATTGCATAGTGGGAGACCTGGTATAATTTTTTTCTCAGGTGTCCTTTTGGACATAGTCCAGATCTATTTTAGATGATTTGCATATAAACTTAAAGATAAGATGCAATTTTCTATTCAATTGTTTAAGGTCTATCCAAGATACCACTTTATGATTGCATTTCATAATAGAATCTGGTAACTTTGTCCTTTTATCTGTTACTTTATGTAATTTGCTTTTGTTTGGTATTACAGAAGAAATAATACCTTTCTTCCCCCAAATTGTTCTTGGAACAAATTATAAGGATATAAAGAAATAAAGGTAGGGGGCGCCTGGGTGGCTCAGTCATTAAGCAACTGCCTTCGGCTCAGGTCATGGTCCCAGGGTCCTGGGATCGAGTCCCACATCAGGCTCCCTGCTCCGAGGGAAGCCTGCTTCTCCCTCTCCCACTCCCCTCTGCTTGTGTTTCCTCTCTCACTGTGTCTCTCTCTGTCAAATAAATAAATAAAATCTTAAAAAAAAAAAATAAAGGTAGGTTATAAGACCATGCCTTGTCGATTTAAATAGGCTAACTTAAATTCCTATGAAATGCAAAGACATCACTTTAGAAAACAAATTATTCCTCAACAAAATTAAGGTGAAAGTATGAAGCCATTAGATTGTGCAAGCTTTTGGAAGAAGGGTATTAACATTTCTGTGCAGATAATTTGATTCTTATTTGTAATATGTGGTCTTTCACATGGTGCTTATCTTTGGGCAAGTATCTTGGGAAATAAACACTAATATAGAAATTAAACATTTAAACTTTATTATACCTCAATTAAGTTGGAATGAGCTATTATGGAAAACCTAACTTTCTCAGTATTGCCTTTCAAATAACAGCTGTTTATAAGGTTTTAAGTTTTGTTTCAAGGATAATAGAAGTGTGTTGAAAACAAAACTGGGGCACCTGGGTGGCTCAGTCGTTAAGCGTCTGCCTTCGGCTCGGGTCGTGATCCCGGGGTCCTGGGATCGAGCCCCGCATCGGGCTCCCTGCTCCGTGGGAAGCCTGCTTCTCCCTCTCCCACTCCCCATGCTTGTGTTCCTGCTCTGTGTGTGTGTCTCTCTCTCAAATAAATGAATAAAATCTTAAAAAAAAAAAGAAAACAAAACTATTAATCACTTAACAAATTTGAGTGCCTTACTGTGTTGTAGGCACTGAGAGATTGAGATTTAAAGGAAAAATAGATTAAAAAAAAAAAATAGATACAATGCCTTCCCTCCAGGACCCTACATTATTTTCTGATCTTTAAAAATCACTATATTGATTTTAGGAGTTTCAAAATACTGGCTAATGTTAACATTTTAGGACTATCTCATAAATTCATGAATCTTGTAAATTCATAGAATTTCATGCTTCTTAAAATAAGACTAAATATCAGTGGCCTTCTAAGGTAATCAACCTTTTGTGTGATGTTTTCAAAAGTGATGGTTCTTCAAATTCACTTTCTGATATACAACTAAAACATTTTTTATTTGGTGGTCATCAGGAAGTGACTATTCTAGCTGGAGTAAAGTCTGCTTCTTGAGAGATGGGCTCTGGAGCTACCAGCCTTGTTTTAAATCCCAGGACCACTTAGGAACTGTGTGACTTTGAGCAAGTTACTTAATTTGCCAAAACCAGTTTTTCTTATTTATAAAGGCAGGGGGGCAGGGATCATAGTTCATTTATAGGACCAACCACATAACATTGATACAAAAATTAAATCAGCTGGTGAATATAGAGCATCTGATAAATCTTTGCTGTTGTATGCAATGATTATTCATTATTTGCTTATTATGAGTTTTTTTAGGATTTTATGGGAAAATGCTAAAAAAGTCAAAGAGAAAAATTTGTTCATAACTCTCATCTTTCTCTCTTTAAATTTGTTGAAGCAAGAAGTAGAAGTTTACATTCTCCACCCTTCCTTCTTACCTCTCCCCTTCCTCCCACTCCAGTGGAATCACAGTTAATAGTCCAGTGTGTCCCAAGGCTTATGTAGCAAAGATGTGTGATCTTGAACTCTTAAAGAAACGAAATGGGTCTAGAAGTTTGCCTGAAGGAGGAATTGTGAGAGCAATGTTCTGTCCAATGAGAGTAGTTCAGAAGCACATATAACCAAGTAGATGCACGAAATTCTAGCTGAACATTCAGCTGTGGGAGAAGAAGGTCCTTTCACTAGCTTTAATTCTTTGTTGGGTAAGGAAATATAGTCTCATTTTGAGTCTACCACAATGAAAAATCTTCAGAGCTAGTTAAATGTGGCAGAGTGAGCATTGTCACTGGCTTGCAGTTGCTTTTACACACGAGCTCTCTCTTGCCCTATGTCTTTGCACCCTGACTGATACACTGTCCCACCTTTCTTCACCTGAGTCACTCTTGGTCATCCATCAAGATTCACCTCCTCCAGGGCTAACCCCAACTATTCGCTCCCATAGTAACCTGGGCATGCATACCTCTCTCTTATGAAAGTACTGTTTGTGTCTCTTTTTCTGATTTCAACCATAACTTGTATAGGGTGGTGACCATTTATTAACCATTTGTGTATTTTTAGCACCTAACGTGTAACTGGCATAAATTAAGGCCCGTAGATGTTTATTGACCTGAAGTAGCTAGCTGTTGGGCAAATTAGGTATTTTTTTGAAATCCTGGTGTATACTCCAAATAGGGAAAAATGAAGTTAATTATGAAATTGGCTTCATTTAAATTTTGTTCCAATGTAGAATAAATAAACTTGTCCTTTAGAGGAATCCTACTTCTTATGTTTGAAAGAAAAATAAAATTCCTAACCCTAAGAGTCAAGTCTGTCTTCTCTTCCTATCTTTATAAATTCTTAGCAAATTTTCCTTGTAGCTTTCCTAACAGAAAAAGTAGAGGCCATGAAACATGAATTGTGTACCCCCCATTCCTTCATGCATCATTCACATTTTCAACAACTTTCTTCTGACCTTAGATGAAGAGGCAACTCCCTTTACTGTGATAGGAATCCTTTCCTCTATGTTGTTAATCCCATTCCTTGTTTCTTTATAGCTTCCACCAGCATCCCCCACACAGTGCTCTGTCTTCTACCTTTCCTGTTCCATGGACTCCTTTCCTACATCTCATGTTCATGTCCAATTACTCTCATCCTTTGTCCTTTGATTTACCTTTCATTGCAGTGGCTGCTTTTACCCCTTATTTCCTTTCATAGCTAAACATCATGAAATATTCTACTTCTTAAACTTCCAGTCCCTCTCTGGTTCATGGAGGTCTCACTTCCTTATTCATACTCCCAGCAACAATTTCATTCTATCAGCATTTTCCATAGTCAACAGACATCCTAATCACTGAATACCATAGGCTTGGCCCCTTTGCTGCTTCACTAGGATTGCTCCCTTTTTGAAGTTTCCTTCTCTCTGGATTTCTCTGATATTACTTTCTCTGGGGTCTCCTTCCACTTCTTTATTACCTTGAAGTCTCCTTCCCTAAGGAATCTCATGTCCTTACCTGGTGTCACCTGCCCTCTATGTTCCTAGGACTTCCACATTTATATCTGTACCCATGAGCATAGGATCTGAACCCTCAAATTGCTGCACATCCTCTTTTTCACATCCCGCTTCAGATAAAAACTTTCCAATCTGAGTTTATTATCTGCCCTCTCATGCAACCAGTTGATCGAAAATTTGAGATGTAGTGAAAGGCACCATTCATCATCCCATCATACAAGTTAGAGACTGTAGAGTCATACTTGGTAACTCCTTTACATGTAGTTCAGTCATAAAATATGGTGTAGTAAGTCCTGAAACATGTAGTTAAGTCAAAAAACCCAAATATGTCTTGAATTAATCTTCTATTTATCCCTGTTGCTGCTGCCTTCTGACCATCTTCATTCTTCTCCTGAATTATTTAAATAACTTTACATTGGTTTTTTTGGCCATTCCTACACCAAACTAGCTTGACACCCAAAGTCCATCCATTACTCTGTCGCAGGGGTTAGTAAATGGAAGTAGTATCCCATCCTCCTTCTTCTGGTGAACCTTGTGACTCCCCATTTTCTATGGAATGAAATCACTACTCCTAGACTTTTAGGACTGAACCTTTGAAATATGACCCATACCTATGTTTTCAGATGTTCTCTCTTACTTTCCTCCACGAAGAGTGAACGGGTGTGCACAAACACTAGGAAAAAGAATGGTAAGGACAAAATCATTGATTTGCCTTTCTCTGTGAACTAACCAACTCTTTAGGTAATCAAGGATTTCCTTTAGTTGGATTCAACCTGGTGCATTAGATATTTTGGGAAAATAAGCCCTGAAAATGTATTTCTTAGATAGCCCTTGAAGCTAAATATTTCTTGAAATAACGGATATAATTCTGTAGAGCAGAAAGTATACAAGTTTTGCCCTCAGGACTGTCTTACCAGTATTTCTATTAAGTGATAATTAGAGGTGTTAATGAGTAGTATAATAATTTTTGAAATGTTGAGTATTCATTTTATTTCATTTTTTTAAAAAAATTTTAAGATTTCATTTATTCATTTAAGAGAGAGAGACAGAGACAGAGAGAGCACACAAGCAGGGGGAGAGGCAGAGGGAGAGGGAGAAGGAGACTCCCTACTGAGCCAGCCAGGAGCCCGATGCAGGGCTCGATTCGAGGACCGGGAGATCATGACCTGAGCCAAAGGCAGACACCCAACCATATGAGCCACCCAGGCGCCCTTCATTTTATTTTTTTTTACTTCTTTGGTGTTTTCTTTAATTCATCTTATCAGACAGGAAGCGCTGTGAGAGTAGATGTGTCTTGTGCCTTTCTGGATCCTTGACACCTGACAACAGAGCAGTACCCAGGGATTGTGTTGTACGTGAATAAACCCAGCAAATGTTCATTTTATTCCAGTTACACCTCAAACAGCATAATAGTTCAAAACCTCAAAGGACAAAGGAGCTGAGAAATATGTTTTATTAGCTCAATAACTCAATTTTCAGGTGAAACAAATTCTGGAATTTAGGTTTTCTCTGGCTTCCCTTTTAACATTTAATGGATTAAAATTCACCCTAAGGCTTTAAACATGCTTTAAATTATACTCAAAACTGAAAAAATAAGATTATATATGTTTCTGTCTTCATACTCTCTTTATACTTTTGTTTCCCCTCAATGTTAGGAAAGAGAAAAGATATGTCGACCAGTGCTGGAAAGATGTTGCTGTTGGGGACTTTATTCGCCTTTCCTGTAATGAGGTTATTCCTGCAGACATGGTCTTACTCTTTTCTACTGATCCAGATGGAATCTGTCACATTGAGACTTCTGGTCTTGATGGAGAGAGCAATTTAAAACAGAGGCAGGTGGTTCGAGGATATGCAGAGCAGGTAAATAATGTGTTCTCAGTTGGTGACTTATTAACATTTTCTTTTCAGAAGATTTTCACAGGTACATATAAAGAGATTTTTAAATTCATTTTTACTATTACAAAATAGAATCCCAGAGGACTTAATCCATTTCCAGCTCTCTGTGGAAGTGTTTTATAGATAATAGGATATAATGACTTTGAAGTTCACACATTTTAGTCTGGCAATCCTATATTTTTTGGAACTGAATTAAAGGAAATGGAATTATTTTGCAATTTGGAGAGTTATTTTGCAATTTGGAGAGTTATTTTGCAATGGAAATAATCACCTTCTCTTCCTAGAATCTGTAATTGCATCTATACCCAGACCTTTTGAGATTCGTGTAGCTTCTCTTGGCCACAGAGCTTCTAGACCTTTCTAGACCCTGCTGTGGTGAGGGAAACAAGAACTTTAAAGTTATATTAACATGAGTTTGAATGAATTCCTGCTTTGATATTTAATTACTGTGTGACCTTGGGCAAGTCACTTATGTATCAGTTCATCTTAAAGTAGAAACAATGATGCCTGCCTCATAGCTTTGCTGTGAGATGCAAATGAAGTAATGTATGTAAAAATGTCATGGATAGTGCTTACATATCAGTTTCCTTTCCCTTTCTCTGGAAACACTTGAGATGAAGTATTTTAAAATTGAATGGTCTTTTTAAACTTGCCATTTGCAACGCTGTGAATGGAGGGTATTACGCTAAGCGAAATAAGTCAGTCAGAGAAAGAAAAGTATCATGTGATCTCACTGATATGAGGAATTTGAGAAACAAGAAATAGGATCATAGGGGAAGGGAGGGAAAAATGAAACAAGGCGAAACCAGAGAGGGAGACAAACCATAAGAGACTCTTGATCTCAGGAAACAAACTGAGGGTTGCTGGAGTGGAGGGGGGTGGGAGGGATGGGGTGGCTGGGTGATGGACACTGGGGAGGGTATGTACTATGGTGAGTGCTGCGTATTATGTAAGACTGATGAATCACAGACCTGTACCCCCAAAACAAACAATACATTATATGTTAATAAAAAAATTAAAAAATAACAAGCATGCAAGTATCAAAACTAAAAAAAATAAATAATGGTCTTTTTAAAACTGAACTGTTAAGTCAGGTTTCCTTCATCTTATACTTGTAAACTAAATGCCCTAATCTTCAATAAATTTCATCATCTGATGTAACAATGGGCCATCTTTCTTTCTCTGGATTTAATTTGGATCCTGTGATTGATATGCCTCTCAGCTTGTCATTGTCACTTTTGTGAGCATTTATATAACTAAGACATTGGTAAAAATCTTATACAATTTGAGATTCTATTAAATACCACTAAGTACCTACTTTAAGGGTGATGGCAGTTGATTAGTCATCACACTTTGGGTTCAGTTAAGGGTCAGTGCTCTGGAATCCCATGACCTAGTTTGCAGTCCTATTTCTAAAGACTGCCTTATGTGGAAACCTATAGCAAATTGTTGATCTTCTTTGTGCTTCTCTGTCTTTATCTGTTAATTAGACCTCATTATAACACCTACCTCATGGGGTTTTAAAGAAGAAATTAATATATTTAAAGTACATAGTCGAGATTCTGGTACATCAGAAGAACTCAAAAAATTGATTAACAAATCAAATCATATGATTATATAACTCAGATTTTCCATACATTTGCCGTGATATGTTATTGCATTACAAGATATATCAATAGTATTTCTTTTATTAGGCAAACATTCATATAAAAACAAGGAAATGAGAAAGTTCACATGGCTTATTCTTAGTGAATCTGTGCCTACGTTCTATAAAAACCCTTTGCTTATTTGCTCATTGGTTTCATCAAGCATTCTAAAATTATCGTTTAATCCTTTAGAGAATTTTGTAAGATGCTGATGTCCAGCTTATTTTTAAATTTTAAATAAAATGTGTTGGAATTAAATGTTTATGTGCTCAGAATGTTCACATATATGCTTAATGCAAATTAAGTGATATACGTAAAAATGTCATCTTTTTGACATTGAATTCTTCTTATGTTGTGATTTAAAATGTATATATAGTTATTTATTTATTTAATTTATTTATTTATTTATTTTTAGGACTCTGAAGTTGACCCAGAGAAATTCTCCAGTAAGATAGAATGTGAAAGTCCAAACAATGACCTCAACAGATTCCGAGGCTATCTGTGAGTGATACATGACTTACCTTCATTGGTGTGAGTGGAATTGTTTATTGCAGTTATATTTAACTCAATAAAATATATGTGTCCATATATCCAAGTTAAATCACCAAAGGCCATGTGTTTAGCCATCTATTAATTTAGCTTTATTTTAATCATTTAAATATTTACTTATGTATGATTTAAAAACAACAACAAAAGCTTGTTCTCAAAATAATTATAAAGTCTCTGTCAGTAGCGTAAGAATGTTTTCCACGAGCTCCATAGTAAGCCCAAGACATGATGTTTGGAAGGAGGTGTCTGGAAAGAACTGGCAACCGAGGTGACAGGATAGGATAGTGTCCTCCTGCAGAATTAGAGTATCAGGTGGATATTTCTGGTTGGCAAAAGTTAGCCAAGGGTTTGGTACATGTGTAAGAAAAAGTATGGGAAGTCACAACAGTGTTCATTTTGGAGACTTCTCGTGGTATATATGTCCCTTTTGTAAGGGTAGCTAGAATTTGAGGTCTTACCTAATTTCAGGTCTGGCGTTGGCCACTTTAGTGCTTTCTGCCTTGAACCAAGTTATTTATTCTTTTTCATCTTCAGTTTCCTGATTTTTAAGAGGAGATAATTAGACCTACTTCATAGTGGTGATCTGAAGAGAAAATGGTAGAGAAAATTTCCAACTCCAGAGTTATCCTGATACCAAAGCATACAAAGACATATAAGGAAAGATCAGTATTCTGCATGAACATAGATGTAAAAATTCTACACAAAATTATAGCAAGTCAAATCCAACAATGTGTAAAAAGGATAATACATCATGACCCAGTGGGACCTATCTCAAAAATTCAGGGTTGGTTTAATATTAGAAAAAAATCACATGATGTAATTCACCATATTAACAAGCCGTAATTAACAAATTGTAAAAGAAAAACCAAGTGATCATCTCATAGATGCAAAGCATTTGACAAAATCTAACTCCTGTTCTTGCAAACTGGAAATAGAAAGGAACTCTCTCAACCTGATAAAGGGCATCTATGAAGAACCTGCATTTAGAATCATTCTTAATAATGCAAGACTAAATGCTTTTAAATGTTTTTTCCCCTAAGATCAGGAACAAGACATGGTTATTCACTTTTACCACTTTTATTCAAGATTGTGCTGCAGGTTCTAGCTAGTGCAGTCAGGCAAGAAAAGGAAATAAAAGCTATCAATAAGAAAGAAGTAAAACTGTCTTTTATTTGTAGATGGTTTGATGTTCTTTGTGGAAAATCTGATAAAATTTATAAGAATTTAATAGATGAGTTTGACAGTGTTGTAGGAAGCGTCAATATACAGAAATCAATTGTATTTCTATATATTAGCAATAAACAACCAGATACTGAAATTTTTCCAAATACAACTTATAATAGCATCAGAAAAAATTAAATACCTGAGGATAATTCTGACAAAAGATGTGAAACACTTGCACACTCAAAACCATGGAACACTGCTGGGAGAAATTAAAGACCTAAATAGTTGGAGAGAGATATGTTGTTCATGGGTTGAAAGACACAATATTCTTAGGATGTCAGTTTGTCTCCAAATTGATCTGTGGATTCAGTGTAATCCCAATCAAAATTCCAGCATGGTTTGGGTTTTTGTTTTTGTTTTTTTTGGTCTTTTTCTAAAAGAAATCGACAAGTTTATTCTAAAAATTTATATGGGGTTGCAAAGGACCCATATTAACTTAAAACAACTTTGAAAAAGAACAGAGTGGGAGGGCTAACACCACCTGATTTCAAGACGTCTTGTAAAGGTACAATAATCAAGTTAGTGTCGTTTTGGCATAAAGACAGACCAGTAGGTCAGAAGAGATTGAAAGATTATAGAGTCCAGAAATTGATCCACACATTCACAGTCAACTGGTTTTTGTTACCATAAATGTGCCTTTGACAAAGGTACACAAGCAATTTAGTAAAGAAAGATTACTGTTTTCAACAAATGCTATAACAATTGGATGTCCAAATTCTAAAAAATAAACGTCAAGACATACCTCTCACTGTGTAAAAAACTTAACCAAAAATGGAGCCTATGATTAAATGTAAACATAAGATTAGAGACTCCTTACATATAGAGGAAACATAAGGGAAATCTTTGATACCTTAGGTTAGGCAAAGATTTCTTGGATACAACACCCAAAGCACAATCCATAAAAGGCCAAAAATAGAAAAAAGAACTTCATCAAAATTAAAACCATTTTCTCTTCAACAACACAGTTAAGTGAATGAGAAGATAAGTCACAGACTGGAGGAAAATATTCGCAATGCATGTATCGGACGTAGGACTTGTGTTCAGAATACATAAAGACATCTCAAAACTGAGCAATAAGAAAACAAACAATATGGTTTTTTAAGTGGTAAAAAAGTTTGAACAGACACTTCACCAAAAAAAAGACACTTCATATGTAGATGACAAATAGCTATGGGAAAAGATATACATTAAAACCACAGAGCTACAACTGCTAAAAAAGCCCCACGAATAGAAGTGCTGGTGAGAATGTAGAGGAACCCGAGCACTCAGATTCCACCTGTGGGGATATATAAAGTACAGTCGCTTTAAACAATTTGGAAGTTTCTTGTAAAGTTAAACATATGTCGGGGCGCCTGGGTGGCTCAGTTGGTTAAGCGACTGCCTTCGGCTCAGGTCATGATCCTGGAGTCCCGGGATCCGAGACCGGGATCCTGGAGTCCCGCATCGGGCTCCCTGCTCAGCGGGGAGTATGCTTCTCCCTCTGACCCTACCCCCTCTCATGTACTCGCTCTCTCTCATTCTCTCTCTCTCAAATAAATAAATAAAATCTTTAAAAAAAAAAAAAAAGTTAAACATATGTCCACTGTATGAGCTGGCTATCCCACTCCTAGGTAGTTACCTAAGAGAAAATAAAACATTTCTTCATACAAAAACCTGCACACAAATATTCATAGCAGCTTTATTTGTGAGACTCCAGAACTGGAAACAACCCAAATGTCCATCAGCAGGTGAATGGATAACCAAATTGGATATCCATACCAGGTAATACTACTCAGCAAAAAGGAATTCACTGGTGATACATGCAAGAACATGGATGCATCTCAGAATATCACGCTGAGTGAAAGAAGCCAGGTGGAAAAGAATATATACTATATGATTTGATTTATATAATTTCTTGAAAACAAAAGCTAATTTATATGATGGAAAGCAGATTAATGAGTGCCTTGACCAAATTTCTGAAACCGGAGTCCTGGTCTACCTTGTCAGCCTCTGTCTTCATCCACACTGGACATGATTTTTTTCTTAACGGACACACTGGAGACATCTTTTGCTGCTGTGGGTACTCAGTCTTGCCCTAGAGCCCTTACCTAGCTCTAGGGCCCCACTAACCTCCTGATTCTCCTAATTATCACTTGCCTCCAGATTCCGTGATGCCATGTTTGCCTGCTCTTTGTTTTTTTCCATTCGAGATGGGCTCCCCTGATGTATGTCTGCTTCAAGTGTGGTGCCTTACTTTCTGATTAGCCTGGTCTGACCACTGGAATTGCCTTCCTCTTGGAATCCACATCCAAAAGATGCTCTCAGCTTCCTCTCACTCCCTGAGATTCTGTCTTCCTCAGTGATTAGACTTCTCTGGGTCTGGTTAATGCCTCTGTTGAGAACTGGCTTCAGCAACTTGCAGGGAAGCATTGAATGAGTCAGCTCAGGTAGATACAGTGATTTTATGTGGAGTTATTTTTATCCACGAAACTAGCTCCTTATCCCTTTCCTGCTTTGTGATCTGTTTTCTAAAATCAACAAAAATTGAGGGACGCCTGGGTGGCTCAGTCAGTTAAGCGTCTGCCTTCAGCTCAGGTCATCATCCCAGGGTCCTGGGATCGAGTCCCACATCGGGCTCCTTGCTCAGCAGGGAGCCTGCTTCTCCCTCTGCCTACCACTCCCACTGCTTGTGCTCTCTCTCTGTCTCTCTCTCTTACAAATAAAATCTTAAAAAAAAAATCAAAAATTGAGATGCTCAAGCTCACTTTCTACATGGTGATTTCTCTGGTCTTACTCTCAGGTAGAACTGACGTTCTCCCTATTTGTGCCCACAGTGCATGCTGAATATCAGATTTCTATCATAATATCTATAATAATTTTATTACACTTACATATTTCTCTATCAATTACCTCCCCGTAGACCACAGGAGCCACGACTGTGTGTTTTTCCATTCCCAGCATCTGAGCAGGACTGCTGGGCAGTGGCAGATGTTACCTAGCTTCTTCAATGGATAAGAGCTCTATGTGGACAGTCAGTGCTTCATATAGAGTCCAAAGGTCCCTTATCATAAGTGCCAAATATATACCTGTCAAGTGCAGGACCTGTTTAATGTTTGGGCAGACGCAGTAAGGATAGGAGTTAGGCTTTGATCTAATGATAGTAACCTAGAGTGATGTAATCGTGAAAAATAAGGATCCCAGGGGGGAAAAAAATCTAAAATCTTACTGAGGAACTTTGGAAATGCTTGTGTATATTAAATCTGTTCCTATAAAGGTTCTAGGGATAATGAATGCTATACTGATGAGCATTGTGTGGTGTTTGCCTGGGAATACTACATGGAAATGTAAATGTTGGGACTTAAATTCTTCATCTATAAAACCAGGAAGTAGAATTAAATTAAACCCAAGGACACTGCTGACCCTGACTATGACTCCATGGTTGTCTCTTTGTACATAAAACCACATATATGAAGGAATGTAAACATACATCTCTTAGTATAAGGTGTTTACAAATATAGAAATGAAGGAACAATTCGATTTTTTTTGTCCTTTAAGGTATGAAACCTTCTTTGAAGAGTTATTTTTCCAGATAGCAAGGATGCCAGATACAGGGACAATTTTCCTATATGTAAGAAAAAAGAAACAACTTACTGACCGAAGTATATTGCTTAGAAAACAGTCTAATTTTAATGCTGAAATGAAGTGGGCATTTTCATAATAGGTGAAATACATTAATTTTTGCTTTTTAAAAGAAATTTCCAGTTATTTTTCTCTGTATTTTTGCCACTATCATAACTTAAGTAATTACTTTGATAATTTTTAAATTGTTTATTGCAGAACATTTCAAGCATGCAAAAGCAGAAAGAAAAATATAATGAGCACTCACGGGCTAATTTTGCCAACTTTGTTTTAATTATCCTCCTATTTCTTCCCCATTAGCATTTCAGTGTAACTACTTCACTGTGAACACATAGCAGTAAAGGACCAGAGCCGTAACATCATTATCACACCTAACTAAATTAAGAACAATTTCTTGATATCATTTAATACCTAGTTTTTGTTCAGATTTGTCCAGTTATCTCAAAAAATTTTTTGTAGTCAGTACAGCCTAACCAGGATCAGAATAAGGTCTGCCCATTTCATTTGGTTGACATGTCTCTAAATTTTCCCTCCCAAGAAATTAGGTCATTGAGCTGGTAGAATTTACCCCTTTCTAGACTGAGCTGATTGCCTTCTTCCTGAGTTGAGACCTCCCTGCTTCTCCCTGTGCCCCCCTGGCATCCATTTGTTGAATAAGCCAGGTCATTTTGACTGCGGTTTATACTGCACTTAGATTTGGCCCGCTGCATCCTTGGGGTCGTGGTGAACACTGTTTTTTTTTTTTCTGGCCCTCTGACTTCCTGTAAACTGTCCAGGGGCACCTTCGAATCTGATGAAAGAAATAGTTTCTCTTTCTACCAAGATAGACGTAGATATCCACACATACGTACACGCAGGAAATATTGCATACAGTTTCAGAGGCTTCACAGATCTTGATGCCGCAGACCCCAGGTTGATTGGCGGTTACAGAGGCTTGATTAGGATCCTGTGGAGACATGTGCTTCTATTCCATACCATCTGGAGGCCCATGATGTCCCTTGTCCCATCGGTAGTTCTGTTAAGATTGGTGTTCTCAGCCTTATCCTTTCATTATAAAATTCCTCATCAGTGTGTCACCTAATGATTTTAGCAGCCACAGGTTACCATTGCCTAGAACAATCCTTGATTCCATCTGGGTTGGAAGGAGTAACTTCCTAATTCTATCAAGAACTTTTCCCTTGTCTGTTACTAAGTTACCCTGAAATACAGTTTGTACGAGAGTAACATTTCCTTATTTGGAATATTTTTGAGTTTTTGTGGTGCCAGAAGTTGACAAACAGTGAATAGTAGAAAACAATGGTAGTTGAAACTTGTTGCATCTTTCTCTGCGCCAAAGCAAAATAACAAAAGCAAATGGCCCAGAGATTTGAAACCTTTCTTCTGAACCACTCGAATTAATACTCCCAGTCAAGAAAACTCAAAATCCGTGATTTTTATTTTTACATCCTCATTTTTGCTATTTATTTTCCCCCCACTTTTGCTAAGTAAAAATGAATCTCTGTGCTGTCTTTCTTATAGAGAACATCCCAACAAAGAACACGTGGGTCTCAGTAAAGAAAATTTATTACTTAGAGGATGCACCATTAGAAACACAGAGGCTGTTGTGGGCATTGTGGTTTACGCAGGTCAGTGACACTTCTCATTTTCACTCTTGTCTCCTCTGTTTTTCTTCAAGTTAACATTTTCCATTTATTCAAAATGCAGTTTACAAAAGCAGAAAGGAAATTTTGTCTTGATAAACTTAATCCTTGGTCTCTGTTTTTCTAAATGGATCACAAAAGCAAACTAAATTAGCAAAATATATTATGCAACTTCTCTTTGTATCTGTCACAGAGATTTAAAAATTTGGTATTTGCTCTCTGGCTTTAATTTGCACATTTTCTGACATGTTACCTGTGTAGGCCATGAAACCAAAGCAATGCTGAACAACAGTGGTCCAAGGTATAAGCGCAGCAAATTAGAAAGAAGAGCAAATACAGATGTCCTCTGGTGTGTCCTACTTTTGGTTGTGATGTGTTTAACTGGTGCATTGGGTAGGTAAAATATGATTTTTTTATACTGACATCTTTTCAGCAAGATCTCTATTTAAAAGTATTTAATTTTTGAAATATTTATGAATATTTGACTTCTGCAAAGGAGATTATTTGCCAATAATTTTTTCCATCAGATCTTTATCTTTCTCATTCTGTGATCTGAAAGGCATTAATGTTGATTATATCCAGCTACATGTGGCCACAGTAGGAAAGGGACCTGGGAAGAGATTTAAAGAGAGACTGAGACAGGAGAATGTGGAGCCTTTTTGCATTTCAGTTTGTTTTCAAAAATAAACAATTGGTGTTCAGCCAAAATAAATACTTTTATTCCTCTTTAGGAATGAAATTCTATATTTACATAATACATATGTAGCATCCTTTTCATGTCTGTGTGTTTTTTGAAAGGTCATGGAATCTGGTTGAGTAGATATGAAAACATAATGTTTTTTAATATCCCTGAGCCTGATGGACATGTCATATCACCGGTGTTGGCAGGATTCTATATGTTTTGGACCATGATCATTTTGTTACAGGTAATTTCTGTTGAGCTCATCATAGAATTTTAAAATCTTTGTTACTTACCCAAGTATATTTGGTTTCTCAAACTTTCTTTCCGCTCTCTAACATTTTTTAAATTACTTGGTTCCTCTTAGGTCTTGATTCCCATTTCTCTCTACGTTTCCATTGAAATTGTGAAGCTCGGACAGATATATTTTATACAAAGTGATGTGGATTTCTACAATGAGAAGATGGATTCCACTGTTCAGTGCCGAGCCCTGAACATCACCGAGGATCTTGGACAGATTCAGTACCTCTTTTCTGATAAGACAGGAACTCTCACTGAGAATAAGATGGTTTTCCGAAGATGTAGTGTGGCAGGGTTTGATTACTGCCATGAAGAAAATGGTGAGTGTTGGGTTTCTATGAAAACCAACCCTAAGATTGGTCTTTTTTGGCACCCAGTTAAAGGTCTGATAATTCTAGCATACAGGTGCTATATTTAAGGATTAGGTACTTAACTCATCAAAAGAGGCATTAAGCGTCATTGTTGTTCTTCCAGAAGTTAGTAGGTCAAGGTCAAGGAGTCTACTGCCATAGTTTCTTTAAAAGGAAAGTAAATTACTACTAGTAGTAGAAGGTTGGAGATGAGGTACAGTGAGAATACAGTATTATAGATAGTTGTGAGAATCTAATGAAACTATGACCATCTCCCTAAGAAATATTTTGAATCTAATGAATCTAATGAAACTGTGGACCATCTCCCTAAGAAATATTTTGAATCTAATGAATCTAATGAAATTATGGACCATCTCCCTAAGAAATATTTTGAAAATAATTCCAAAGGGAGGGGCTACAGCCCCCCCTTTAACCCATCACATCCTCGTTTAGCCCATAGATACCATCAATTCTTGGTTAAGAACACCTAGAAATATGATGAGCTAAACATCTGAGGCTAAGGAAGTAAATATACAAATTGCAAGTTTTCTTTAAAGAATTGAACTACATTAATTTTGTTATTTACAAAAGTAATGTACACTCCTATGAAAATGTTTCTGAGAAGTATCCATAACTAATTAAAAACCTTACTCTCTAGAGGTTAACCACCATTAACAATTTGATGAATATATAACTCTCCATATTCTTTTATATGTGAACATATATATTTGCACATTTTCCCTTTTATAAGTTAGAACATGTTATAATTTTTTTTTTTTTTGCAGTTTTCTTCTTTTATTCAACAATATCTCATGGACTTTTTTTCTGAGTCCGCTCATAACATTAAGTGCATAGTATTGCATTGTATGTGGTCAAGCTTACTTTGCTATTGTAACAATACTTGCAATGAACTTACTTAGTTATCACTTACTCATTCAACATAAATTTTGTGAGCCCCTAATATGTGGCAAAAGTCCCTTGATCTCATGTAGCTTTTAGAGTCTGAGGCAAGGAGATAGTATTAAAGATTATGATATGTAAAAGAAAATTCATCATGTAATATGCATTTTTGTACACACATGTTTGTACATATCTTACTTTTATAAGATACATTTCTAGAAGTGGTATTATTGGCTCCAGAGATATGCACATATAAAATTTTTATAGATCCTACAAAATTTATATCTAAAATATTGTGCTAATTTACATTCCCACCACCCAGAAAAACAATACCCATTTTTCACACCAGCCATAATGGGATGAAGTTATTCTTTTTAATCTCTGTGATATTTGTAGACTCAGCACTTCATTGTCTTAATTTGTCTCTGATGAGCAGTGAGATGCTTAACTTTTTATATGTTTATTGGCTTTTTGAATTTCCTTGGTAAAGTGATCATTTCCTTTTCCTATTTTACAAATGAGCTTCTCTTCGTCATCTGTAGGAAGATTTTATCTATTAAGGCAGGACTGGCGTTCAGCTCATTGTTCAGTCTAGGTTGTCTGTGGCCATTGTCCATTTTCATTTGTGCACTTGTATTGAACTAAATGTTAAATAATTTGACGCTGTGATACTGTCCTTCTGTATGTGACGAGTATTTTCCTGGTTCATCATTTATCACTGTATTAGTTTTCTATTGTCACATAACAAATTACGACAGATTTAGTGGCTTTAAACAACACAGATATACCGTATCATAGCTTTTGTGGGGCTAGAGCCTGGGTGTGGGATGGCGACATCCTCCCTTAGGGTCTGTCACCAAGCTGAAATGTAGGTGTCAGATGGGACTGTGGTCTTATCCAAGGCTCAGGGTCCTCTTCATAGTTCCCTTGTCTTTGGCAGAATTCAGATGCTTAAGGTTGTAGGACTGAAGTCCCTGCTGTCTTGCTAGCTGTCAGTCTGGGACCGTTCTGAGCTTCTCGAGGTGGCCCACCGTTTCTTACCACATGGCCTCTCCATAGCCTCACAGTTTGCTTCTTCAAGACCAGCAGCAGAATCTCTAGCTTTGAATTTCTCTGACCTCAAGGAAAGTACTGTGACCCTTCTTTTTACCTGATGAGGTCAGATCTACCTAGGATAGTCTTCTTTTAGATTAATTCAGATTGAGCTGGTTAGCTGCTTGATTACATCTGCAAAATCCTTCCACATTTCCATATAACATAATTTAATCACAGAAGTGAAACCCCATTGTACCCAGAAGGTGTATACATCAGGGGGACTGGAAATTTGGGGGCCATCTTAGAATTCTGTCTAGCACGGTCTCTTAGGGTGTTTCTACTTGTCAGAATTTTTATATGTTTATTAAATCTTGTCAGTTGTTATGAATATTAATAAGATTATGAATATTATAATTTCTGTCAGTAGTGCTAAACCCAGGCCAAAATTTTAAAAAATATAACTGTATTTTCTCCTAGGCACACATACATACATACATACATATGTATGTATGTATATATATATATATATATATATATATATATTAAAGATTTTATTTATTTATTCATGAGAGACAGAGAGAGAGGGCAGAGGGAGAAGCAGGCTCCCAAGGAGCAGAGAGCCCGATGCGGGACTCGATCCCAGGACCCTGGGATCATGACCTGAGCCGAAGGCAGATGCTTAACCATCTGAGCCACCCAGGCGCCCATATATGTATATTTTTTTAAAGATTTTATTCATTGGGGGGGAGCACTTGCACATGAGTGGGGGGAGGGGCAGAGGGAGAGGAAGAATTTTTTTTTTTAAGATTTTATTTATTTATTTGTCAGAGAGAGAGAGAGAGCACAAACGGGGAGTGGCAGGCAGAGCAGGCAGAGGGAGAAGCAGGCTCCCTGCTGAGCAAGGAGCCCACTGTGGGACTCGATCCCAGGACCCTGGGATCATGACCTGAGCCGAAGGCAGATGTTTAAGCGACTGAACCACCCAGGTGCCCCTCCTAGGCACATATATTTTTTAAACCAGGTTTTGTTGTTACCTGTGAACGTTAGGGATAAAATGTTGAATATTTATCACATAATCACTATATAAATATAAAAAATAGCTAGTCATATTGGATATGAAACTCTGCATTATTTTGTCTTCTTTTTTTTTTTTTTTTAAGGTTTTATTTATTTATTTGACAGAAAGACACAGTGAGAGCAGGAACACGAGCAGTGGGAGTGGGAGAGGAAGAACCAGGCTTTCCGCTGAGCAGGGAGCCCAATGCGGGGCTCGATCCCAGGACCCTGGGATCATGACCTGAGTGTAAGGCAGACACTTAACGACTGAGCCACCAGGCGCCCCTATTTTGTCTTCTTTATTGTATTTTTGTTAAAAAAGCAATATTCTAGAAAATTTCAGATAAGCTAAAAGAGGAAAATTTAAAAGCCATCAGTAACCCCCACCAAACAGAGTGGACCACTATTAACATTTTTGTACATTTCTTTTGAGCCTTTTTTGGGACACATTAATATATATATTTTTTTTACTTATTTATTTATTTATTTTTAAAGATTTTATTTATTTGAGAGAATGAGAGTGAGAGAGAGAGAGAGAGAGAGAGAGCATGAAAGGTGGGAGGGTGAGAGGGCTGAGCAGGGAGCCCAATGCGGGCCTCGGTCCTGGGACTCCGGGATCGTGAGCTGAGCTGAAGGCAGTCGCTTAACCAACTGAGCCACCCAGGCGCCCTGTTTTGTTTTGTTTTTTTAAATGGCATTATGGTGTGCTTTTGTTTTTACAACCATTTTTCTTAAGATTTCATCATGATCACCTTCCTAGTCTCTCCTTATTCTTCTAGAGGCTAGGCTAGATTGCACTATAATAATTGCCAAAATTTATGTAAATAATCCACCTCACTGTAGCTGAACTTTCACACCCATTTATGAGATTAGTGTCTTCCAAGATATTTGACTCTGGATCCCTATTTTCAAGAAGTATCTTATAGTAGTAATGTTTCACAAAATGTATGATGGAAAGCACTACATTGTTTTTTGTATTTGTAGCATTTAAGAAGGCTAGTACCAGCCCTTTCCCACCCCAGTCCCTGAGCCTGCACACTGGGCTCAGCAAGTGCTTCTGCCCCTTAGGCAGAGAAGGTACCAAGTGACTGAAAATCTTGTGCTAACCTGACTGAACTGCTTGTGGACCGTGGGTGTTGCACTATTTCTAGAAGGTGCCAACTTTGCCTTTGAGCAGATCTCTGCCATAGATACATCCGGAGCTCCTGGTCTCTTTTCTGTTATGGTTTAAAAACAAGGACATGTACATACACACTCTGATCGATGAAGGAGGGAATAGTAGGGGCTTCTTCTCTCCAGAATTTAACCCTGAGACATATTACGTTCACTGAAATGAAAACTAGTTAACCCTTCAGGATTTGGGGGCAAAAGCTTTGCCTAGGAGGTCTTTCCATAAAGAACATTGCTGCTAGGAAATAGCCCCGTGCACAAGTGCATTTGAATTAAACACATTTGACAACACCATTTGATGTTTTTAAAACCTTGCAACATAGGGGCATTTGGCTGGCTCAGCTGTAAGAGTGTGTGGCTCTTGATCGCAAGGTCGTGAATTTGAGCCCCACGTTTGGTGTAGAGATTATTTAAATAAATAAATTTAAAAAAAAATAAAACCTTGCAACTTAGAAATTTGGTCCGTGGACTCAGCAGCATTAGCAACACCCGGGTGTGTATTAAAAATGCAGAATCTCCAGCCCCTCTTTAAAGCTTCAATTAAAATCTTCATTTAACAATATTCCCAGGTGATTTGTGTGCATATTAAAATTTTAGAAGACATTGCTTTAAAAGATTACTGAAAGAGGATGTCTTTTTTAATAATCTTATTAGTGTAGAATATTGTTAGATTTACAGAAAAGTTACAGTGATGCTCTTGAGGGTTCCATTTTGCCCCCCTCTCCAGTTTCCTTTGTCGTTAACATCTTACACTAGTCGTATAATACATTTGTCATAAGTAATGAACTAATAGTGATATGTCATTATTA